CCCTTACGAAACCAAAATATGATAAGCATACCTGTTCATTTCCAAAAACAACATCTGCAAAAGTATAATTTTCTATGGAATGAAGGAAGAAGGAAAAAGTCAGTCTCCCAAATGAGAAAACAATTAATTGAAATGAAATAATAAAAAATAAAGAAGTGATTATTTACCTACTGATTGTTTGCATCTGACTGCTTTTAAGCACAATTTTCCTTTTTCTCTATTAGCCAGTTTAATATCTGGTAAAAATAATGATAAAATATGAATTGCTTATCATATCAAAATAATTTAATGTGAACCATCTGTTCCCCCAAAACACAGGTTTCGAAGAAAATTAAGAAAATGCATTCCTACGGGTTGCACCATTTATTTGAAAACCAAATTCAAATAATTCACCAAAATGTTGTACATAGAAATTACACTACATAAATATTATAGAAAGATGCATACTTGTATCATTTTTGCAAGATAACATATAAATTACGTTATAAATAATATTAAGTATAGTAGGGTGCCAGAAAATATACATACAACTCTAATAAAAGTGAACTTTTCAGGCTATTGTCCATCTAGATATTACTAAGTAATGGAACGTACAGTAGTTGGAAGAAAAAAAAAATGCAATATATGCATTTTTGTGACCATAACTATAAATGCAATTGGATTAGAGAGATATAGTATATTAGCAAAATTTCAGTGGTTATTTTTAAAAGTTATGGTCTCCAAACAAATCTATTTGGTTTTTGGATTATGTTTTCCATGTTGTAACTGTATCAATTTGTTCCATGTAACAGATTTGGCCACACTGTCAAATGGCAAAAAAGGAGCTTTACATCAGAATCAATATACTTGCACATCATATGCAGGTTTCATCAGTAACAGTTCCAACAGTGATCTCCATAAGCTGACATTTTACATACATCTATTAAAAAAATAGCCAATGCTATTTTCACAGGGCCATACTTCTACTAAGGAATATAGGACTGCAGTTATACTATAGTTGCATGCAAACAGTTCCCATATAAACTGAAGTTAAAAACACCACAAAAAAGCTGTATGGATAGTTCTTGATTTATGACCGGCCACCTACAACTGTTTGAAGTTATGACAGACCTCCCCAGAATTACTTACGACCTGTTTTCAAAGTGACCTGAAGTCATCTGATAGTATTTCAGGTGTTTGGCAACCAGCTCACCTTTACAGAAAATCCCATAGTCACATGATCAAAATTTGTAACTTTTTTGCCAGTTTCCAATATTTATTTATTTCTAGTTTTCAGCAAAAAAAAAAAAAAAAAAAAAAAAAGGGCCATTGGGGGAAAAGGCTTAACAACCATAGTATTTGCTTAATGACTGATGCAAAAAAATGTTTTAAAAAATCAAGTCCGGTCATGTGATGCCTTGACTTATGACCACAATGATTTACAACTGTAATTCCGGGGTCAATTGCAATTATAATTTGGGGACTACCTATACAGTAGCTCAAATTCAAAAATTCATTTTAAATTTTTGCATATTCCACTGTTTTCAATAACCACTGTTTTCAATATTATAGAGGAATAATCTTTGGATTTTTGCCTTGATGATTAAAGATTTTAAGGTATGCAACATTTACACTTTTAATACTGATAAGAAGCAGTTCTTCACTGTGCTGTTTTATAAGGTAATAAATGTTTAAAATGTATTTGCTGTCTTAACTCCTCCCATCTTACAACCTTAGTCAGTAAACATGCAGAGCTTATGTCCATTTTCTGAGAAAAAAAGAGCATTAAGATAGTAATACGCACAGTTTAAGTAATGTTATAATAATATATGAAATTAATGTGCTATCTAATTACACTATCAGTGAACTAAGTTTTTTCTTTTTACTACATACACTAGACTAGACAATTCTGTGTATACATATCACTCTGGATGATTACTATACTCTGTAATAAATCTTCTCTACCAATTCTCAAACAGATTTACAGTACTCCACACTATAATAAAATTATAAAGTTACATGTGTTGCACAGAATCCCCAGATTCCCAAGAGTGCCTTTCCAAATAATTAATTAAAGAGCAGCAGCCAAAAGAAAGTAAGAAAATAGAATTTGATGTATGATTATTAGGATCTAATAACCCTATCTGAGAGAGAACAATTGCAGCAACAAGAACATCCACACATGTGCTTATATTTTTTAAAACTCTCCCATGCATTTGCCTTTTTAAAAACTAGAGCAAAAGACTGGCTATTTTAAAAAGAAGTTTGCCTCTTCCAAAGGGAGGTTACTGTTGAATCAGAAAAGGGAAAAATATGGTAGTGAGGGTTTGTTGGCTGTCGGGGCTGCGTCTGTTAGGCATGAATGTAAAATAGAATATTTTTAGGAAAAGACTTAAGATAGATATGGTTATGTAAAAATAGAAGATAGTATTATCAAATAAAAATAGAGAAAGGACTAAATGCTAGAACATGGGATCATATTGAAATAAGAATGTAACACAAAGTATAGAACTACAGGCTAAAAGAAACAAATTAAGGAATGAGACTTTAGAACAGGCATGTCAAACTGCCGGCCCATGGGCCGGATACGTTACTATTCTGAAGACAGAATAGAATGATTATAGGTCAGCACATGAATACAGAAGATGAATTGGTAAGAAAAATAAAACACAGAAACAGCACTGGGAAGATGCTAACATAAAAATGTTAGTACAGAAAATCTAAAAAAACAATCACACCACTGCTGCCAAGGAACAGGTTTTATTTTTGAATAAATCACTTTTGTAATAAATTACTTCCTTATGGGTGTTAGTGTGTCTTGCCTAGATTTGTACCATCCCTGATCCAATGGCCATTTGATTAAAAAGAATTTGAAGTTTTATCTTATTATAAATTTAACAAACCTTTATCTTCAGAGAAATTTATGGATTTCTGTAACTTCCAGTTTCTGCTGTTACTAGACACTTGGACTATATGAAATTCTTTTACACCAGCTTCACTCTAAAAAGGAAGATATCAAAATATGCAAATCATTCATCTGTCTCAGATAAAATATTAACTCAAAACTAAAAATTATAAATAAAGAAATATTCTGTTGTTTATTTTATACATAACCCTTTTGGTTGGGATGGGGAAAGATTAGAGTAGCACAATTTACAAATAATCCATATACAACTACCATGTTTCCCCTAAAATAAGCCCTAGTTTTGGGGCGAGGCACACGCCTAAAAATCAAGTTAGGGCGGGGGGCCTGGAGCTGCCCCATGCGCCCCGCACCCACTTACCAGGCCTCCCATGAGTCAATACCTCGCTCTCCTCGATGACCCACTTCTGCAGCGTCCCCTAACCTGCATTTTGCAGTCAGAGGCCTTTCTGGAAGTCTTCTGTAGCCTAGAACTGACCTATGGATTCAATCCGTAGTTCGGTTCTTGGCTGCAGAGGCCTTCGGGAAAAGCGTCTGACTGCGAAATGCAGGCTGGAGCTCCATTCTCA